GGGGGGAAGGGGGAATGTGAGAGATTTTTTTGTTCGGGTTTTTTTATGTGTGGGTTTGTCCAACTATAAAGGGAAAAAGCGTTTTGGGTCAAGGTTGATATTGGAGTTTAAGGTCCTGTAGTTTGTAGATTGCCCAGTAGTAAGTGGGTTTAATAAACCCGGGAGTAATTTTAGATCTATGAAAAAGTGGGCGGGGGTTTTTTGCCGGGGAAAAGGGGGGGGAATTTGGATTATTCTTACTGCAGCTTTTTTTTGGGGTTTTTTATTGGCTTTGGGTTTGTTTTTTGTGCATTTTTGACCCCAAAAAGCAAAAAATACGTAGGGAGGTAGGAAAAAAAATAAGTGAGTGGTATAGTGTGAAAGGGGCATTTTGCGGACGTAGTATCGTTTTCTTGGAGGGGACCCAATGTTTTGGATATTTTTTTGGGTTATGTTTGGTATGGGTGCTGAAATTCATTTTTTGTAAAGGTAATGGGCCCTGGGGGAATTTTCCCCCTTCATTATGCGGGTAATTAGTGTTTGTCGTTCTTAATTTTAAATTTTGTGCATCTCCCCCTCTGCTAAAAAACCAAAAATTAGTATTTTTTTGTCAGTTTTAAACGTAATTTTTTGGCTGTCACCCAATCGATATTTTGATCAGCTCGTCGTTAACAATGGGTTCCCCACACAGATGACAGCAAGGAAATGAGTGAGCTACTCCCAAATCCCAAAAATGACCAGTTTTTTGCAAGCCCCTAAAAAGACGAGATCGAAGATCAAAATTAAATTTTTTTTGAGAGAGCCCCAAAAAATTTTTTAACACAAGCCTATCCGATGGGTTTTCCCCGATGCCCAAAAAAAATTCGAACAGGGGAAAAAATGACATCCCAGGCACTCTCCCAAAGGGGCCCGGCTCATGGAACTCCGTGTTTCATCAAGAAAATGCAAGAAAAGCCCCTATCACGAGCCTTTTCCCCTCCTATGGAAGGGGGGAAGGATGGACACGGGGGGTTTTCCCCCAGTTACTAAAAACAACGGGGAAAAAACCCCACTCCACAAAGGGGGGGTTTAAAACAACAAACAAAGAACTAACCCGCCCAAAGGGCCCAACATCCCATACATAAAAAACTTTGAAAGGATCCCAAGAAGCAAGATCACCACCCAACTAGAAACCCATCAGTTACACAACCCGGGCAACAGGGGTTTTTAGAACAGGTCACTCCGGGTCTGTCTCAACTATTGGATCACTAGACAAGGTCCTAAATGCACTAGAAGACAAAAAGAATGCAGATGTAATATATACAAACTTTGCAAAAGCCTTCGACAAGTGTGACCATGGCGTAATAGCGCACAAAATGCGTGCTAAAGGAATAACAGGAAAAGTCGGTCGATGGATCTATAATTTCCTCACTAATTTCGTCAACAGAGTAAAGTCTGAGGCAGCTACGGTGAAAAGCTCTGTTCCATAAGGCACAGTACTCGCTCCCATCTTGTTCCTCATCCTCATATCCGACATAGACAAGGATGTCAGCCACAGCACCGTGTCTTCCTTTGCAGATGACACCCCGAATCTGCATGACAGTGTCTCCAATTTTCAGACACTGCAAGGTCCAGGCGGACATAAACCAAATCTTTCAGTGGGCTGCAAAAAACAATATGAAGTTCAACGATGAGAATTTCAATTACTCAGATATGGAAAAAACACGGGGAAAAATTAAATCTTCATCAGAGTACAAAAAAATTCTGCCACAAATAGAGCGAAAGCCATCGTCAAGACCTGGGAGTGATCATGTCGGAGGATCTCACCTTCAAGAACCATAACATTGAAATCAATCGCATCTGCTAGAAAAATGACAGGATGGATAATGAGACCTTCAAAACTAGGGAGGCCAAGCCCATGATGCCCACTCTTCAGGTCACTTATTCAAATCTAGGCTGGAAAAATTGCTGCACACTAATAGCACCTTTCAAGGCAGGTGAAATTGCTGACCTAGAAAATGTACAAGAACCTTCACGGCGCGCATAACGGAGATAAAGCACCTCAATTACTGGGAGTGCTTGAGGTTCCTAAACCTGTATTCCCTGGAATGCAGGAGGAGACATACATGATTTATACACCTGGAAAATCCAGAGGGACTAGTACCGAACTTGCACATGAAAATCACTCACTACGAAAGCAAAAGACTTGGCAGACGATGCAACCCTCCCCCCAGTGAAAAGCACGGGTGGTCACTAGCACGTTAAGAGACCATACAATAAGTGTCAGGGGCCCGAGACTGTTCAACCCGCCTCCCCGCATACATAAGGGGATTACCAACAGACCCCTGGCAGTCTTCAAGCTGGCACTGGACAAGCACCTAAAGTCGGTTCCTGACCAGCCGGGCTGTGGCTCGTACGTTGGTTTGCATGCAGCCAGCAGCAACAGCCTGGTTGATCAGGCTCTGATCCACCAGGAGGCCTGGTCACAGACCGGGCCGGGGGGCGTTGACCCTCGGAAATCTCTCCAGGTAAAACTGGGTTCATAGTATCTCACACCAGACATCAAAGGAGAGATGAGGAGTCGCTATGTCCCGCTAATTCCCGTTGCCTGGGGTCTATCTTCCATATATCTAGCGTCTACTGTGGATGACCACGCCAGCAACAAAGATGATCAGGCCCCATGGCCTGGCTGGCAAAGCTTTCGCTCCACGCGCTGAGCGTCCGGGTTCGATTCCCGGCAGGGGTAGAGACATTCGATACGTTTCCTTACACCTGTTGTCCTATTCATCTAGCAAGTAGGTACTTGGGTGTTAGTTGAATGGTGTGGGTCGCATCCTGGGGACAAGATTGAGGACCCCAATGGAAATAAGACTGACAGTCCCTCGATGACACACTGTCTTTGTTAGGTTATTCTGAGTGGCTAACCCTCCGGGGATAAAAATCCCAACAAACTCTTATCTTAACTGATTTTCCAAACTTCAACCCACACTAGGTTATTATTATTATTATTATTATTATTATTATTATTATCAAAAAGAAGCGCTAAGCCACAAGGGCTATTCAGCAACCCACACTAGATAAGGTTAATACTACCAGGAGTAGAAACTAAAAAAACTCAGACACCAGGAAATTTAGAGTTTTACAGCCGCCCGCTAGATGACAGTGCAGGCGTGTAACAGACCTCAGATTCTGAACTACCATATGCTCATCTCACTGACTGTTTATTTATTTATTTATTTATTTATTTATTTATTTATTTTATTTCTTTGCAAACAGTACATTGAGGTTTTGTATATACAATAGTGGGTTGCAATGCAAAGAGAGCCTCTATTATGCCTAGGCATTATGGACCAACTTAACATTATTGACTTACAGACTACTTAACACTAAGGATAGTAGGATATTAGGACAGTAGGATAGTAATTGTTTCATAGTTGTACAGCAGAATATTAATTATAAATGAATCAAAATTTGTATAATACAAAGAAATATTTATATCCTAAAATGCTTTTGTAAAAACAATGATTCAATTATATTCCTGTCAACAATGGATAAAAGGTTCAATGTAATTGTTTCAGTTATGATGTGGGAGTACATAGGTGAGTAAATGTGTACTGAGTATTTAGCATTTAGTCTGGGGTGATTAAGTGGCTTTTGAGAAGAGTCTTAAATTGATTTTCAGACTGGGTTACTTTAATATCTTCTGGTAATGAATTCCATATTTTGGGGCCCTTTATGTGCAGAGAGTTTTTACAGTGTGATATGGACACGAGGTATATGAAAGAGAGATCTGTGTCTTGTGTCACCCCCATCCTCTCTCTATCTCTCTCTTTCTCTCTCACACACACACGCACATACCTAGGACAAAATGGTAACTAACACACACACGCTCGTGCGCAAACAACAGTGGTAATGCTATATTTACATTATTGTAATCATGGGGAGCGCTAAATCCGTAGGATTGTACAGCGCATGTGGGGGATGGAAGGTATTCAGGCTCAGTTCAGGGAACCGAAGCGCAGATCCAATTCCCTAGATCAAGAGCCCTCACCAGCGTCAAGGAACTTCCCTTGAGGGGCTTTATTTACGGTGAGCAAAGGCAGAATGGTTTACCTGGAGTTTACCTGGAGAGAGTTCCAGGGGTCAACGCCCCCGCGGCCAGGTCTGTGACCAGGCCTCATGGTGGAACAGGGCCTGATCAACCAGGCTGTTACCGCTGGCTGCACACAATCCAACGTATGAGCCACAGCCCGACTGGTCAGGTACCGACCTTAGGTGCCCGTCCAGTGCCAGCGCGAACTGGTTGGTAATATACCAATGTGGATAAAATACTTTGACATTTCTCAGTGAACTGTTTGCGAATTCATTAATTTTATTGCGTTTCGGCCCTCAAGGGAGGTTCCTTGACGCTGGTGAGGGGCTCTTGATCTAGGGAATTGGATCTGTGCTCCAGTTCCCTGAATTGAGCCTACATACCTTCCATCCCCCACATGCTGTATAATCCTACGGGTTTAGCGCTTCCCTGTGATTATAATAATAATATCGCATTCCAGTACAAGGTTTGACAATTGTCTATCTAGCAAAGTTTACATTACCTTTGGTTTACATGTGATGGTCCCCTCAAGAAAGGTTCCTTGATGCTGGCGAGGGGCTCTTGATCTAGGGAATTGGATCTTTGCTCCAGTTCCCTGAATTAAACTTGAATGCCTTCCGCATCCCCCCCCCCCCCTCAAGCGCTGTATAATCTTACGGGTTTAGCGCTTCTCCCTTAATTATAATAATAATAATAATAACAATACATGTGGTGGTGTGATAGTTGTCACCTGACACCAGCAACAATGTATATACTCCATTTTCAGTTGTCTCAGAATTAGGACTCAAGAAGACACTTGTAGCGAAACGCATCCTTAATAATATATGTCTTGATCAGCGCACATGTATTTTTTTTTATCAGCAGTTTGTGGGTATGAGCAGAGGACATGTGCCAACACCTGCTGCTGCCATCCATCTTGTTCTTGTATGTTAACTTACACCTGTTGCCCCTCTCCACCTAAGTAGGTGTTAGACTACTGTGGTGGGTCGCATCCTGGGGGGAGAGGACCATAAGACCCCAGTAAAAACAGCACAGCGTAATGACACTAACTTTCATAGGGTTATCCTGGGTTAATAATCCTCTGGATTAATAATCCGAAAAAAAAAATCTGGATGAAATTCCAGACCCCAGACGTCTCTCTCAGCGACAGTCACTTACATTATAACGTTACTTACAAGTAGTAATATACTGTAACTTATAAAACTATGAGAGTAAGTCATGTTGACGGTTATCAAGAGTTGAATGAGGAAGATGTTAATGTATGTTGGTAGAGCTTCCAAATAATTATAATAATAATAGTGAATGTTGAAGCCAAGTGAAGGGAATGAGACACTGATGTAAACATTGAAGATGGCAGCCAGCAGTGCTGACTCCTCCCTCGAGAGGAATGATTTTACGCCTACCATAAGGTACGTTACACTCATATTGATTCTTGTGAGATTTCCGAACTAGTTTTATGTATTGCAACTATTGGCACCATGGAAATGTGGAGGTGTAAGGCAGGAAGGCCCAGGTGATAGCACCTCACACGCCCTTCACTCTGCTACAACGTTGATAAACTTTATTGAACTTAAATAACCTCAAGGAGGTTACCTTGAGGCCAGTGAAAGGCTCCTGTTCTTAGGAGTTGGAGCTACCCTCTCAGGGGGGCTGGCATGATGATCTTCCATTTCCAAGGTGATGTAAGACGTAATTGGGATAAAGTCGCAGTTACTTTATTAGCTTATCTTTTAGTTAAATATAGGTAATAATATAATATTTTTATTTTTCATGATTCATACAAAGATTGCAGTACATATAAACGATTTTATACAAAAATAGACACAAAAGAAAGCCACTAATTATGTATTACATTTCTGCAGACTAGTCTTAAGACATAACATACTACTTAAAACTAGACCTGGCATGTTATTTACACCTTCTTGTGTAGTTAGTTAAGACTGCCTGAAGTGCCTCAGCATGATAGTGCCTTTCTTTGTACCAATCAAATTATGAAATGTAAATACACATTGTAATAACATAAGGTGGGACCAAGTCAACCTGGTCCTAAATGATATAAACTGGGAAGATATCCTAAGCAACATGGATTCAAGCCTATGTCTAGAACAAATTAACTCTGTGGCACTCAAGGTATGCTCATGGCAAATTTAACCCCTTGACTGTCGCAACCCCAAATCCTGAGGTGTCTCCTGTTGTGGCAAAATTTCCAAAAAAAAAAAAAAAAAAATGTTATGAAATGATAGCGAATCTTTTCTCGATTGTAATGACACCAAAAGAATGAAATTTGATGGAAAACTGACGGAATTACGCTCTCGCGAAGTTAGCGACCTCAGCGATATTTACGAATCGGCAATTCCGCCCAGTTTGAGCCCTATTTTCGGCTAATTCCATTGTTCCAGTCGACCAAACTCATAGCTATTTCTTTAAAACTCCATTTTTTCTATCGATTGAGTACAAGTAACTGCCCATTTACCGATTTCAACTACCCAATAACGTGGTCAGAAATTTGCAATTTGGCCAATTTCACAAAAATTAAAAAATATGACAATTACAAAATAGGGTCCAGAATGAACAATGCAGACATTCCTGGCTCTAAAATAACATTTTCTTTGTTCATCAGTCACATCTCCACAGGCCCCCTGATATTACTCTTGCTTTCTATTTTGAATTTTTATTCAAACAAAAATTTATAGAAGATTTACTATTATGCAGACTACCTCAATATTGTAATAATTGTACAAATAATGTCAACCCATTCATGACTGCATATTAGAATGCTAGTTGGATATTTATTGGACAATGACAATGCTTGTGGAGAAATTTTCTCCAGGAGGGGGGTATCAGCCCCCTTCAGCCCTTTCAGCCCTGAGGGGCCAAGCCTCTCAGCCCTGAGGGGCCACTCAGAAGGGGCGAGCGTCTTGTTTACTGCTAGAGTGAGTAATTGATCACAGATGCTATGCCACGTAATCAAGTGACCTCTGCTCCTTGCAGGGGTGTTGCAACGTGTATTTTTATAAGAGACAGTACATCTCTTATTTAGCAGGACAATTAAGGAAAATCCTGCTCCCACTCTATTACCATAGTAAAACTAGTGTACATTGTTGTCTATGATTAAGACAGCAAGAAACAAACATTCTGCTTTGCTTCATCGAGGAGGTGACAAGGATGCAAGGTACTAGGTCAGCGTTTTTTTTTTGTGCTGGGGGCAGTGACGGCATGGAGAGCTGTGGCGTCTGGGCAGACTAACTTTGACTCTACTACGAGACACTGACGCCAGGATAACCAGCAAAGGACACTGATCTGTGCGTTAGTGTGAATAAAGTGTCTCACAAAACACAATAAACTCTTTAAGCCCCCCCCACGCCTTGTCCCCCCCCCGCCCCTGACTTCCAGTTCTCTTGTGATACATTTGTGAAACAATAAAGACAATCTGTGGAACATAGGTGATACAGTGTGCGTTTCTAGACAAAGAGAAGACGTGGACACCAAGACACTTCGCTTCTATCAAAGTCACCTGATACCTGTTCGAAGGTGTTGAGAACCACCGATAGCTCAATGTTACAAAGAGCAAGGTTCATGTCTAACGAATTTCTTGTAGAATCGGGGGATTGCGCAATTCGCTTGAGTCACAAGGAGTTTGTAATCAACCTATAATCGGCAGTAAGGTGTGGACTTTTGAGTGTCTAACAAGTAAGTATTTTCGTCAGCCATCATCGCAATGAAATATGCTGACGATTACACCCCCTAGAGCGTAATTTTATACTTTAACAATTGTATCTGCTTGACAGTCTCCACTAATTGTGATGGTTTCGGACAGCTTCTAGCTCTGTTGTTGCAGGGGCGGCTGTGTAGACGATTTGCTTTCATTTATCTAGCTAAGATGTTCTCTAATTAGATATATAATTATATCTTTGCTGGTAAGGCCAAAATTTCAACAGAGGTTCTTGGTCTCGTGCTCGAAATACGGACATGATATAAAGACCACATGTGATCCAGTATGTTGTCCTACTGTGTACAAGATAACTTATGAGTCCAAGGTCCTTCGAAAAAGCTCTGTAAAACTATGTTTACAATATATAATCAGTATAAATGAGTCCCCTCCAGACTCAATCACAGAGGTAAATGGCTAGCCAAAAGAAAAACGGGCGTCACTCCAGAGCGTTCACCAACGGAAAACGGTGAGCATGAGGTGACTCACCAACAGAAGACGGGGGATGGTATCCTGCACCTCCTCATAAACTGCTCAATAGTCGGAGGTAAATGCGATAATTACAACACCTACCAGGTGATGTTGTTTGTCTGAGTGTATATATACACAGTGTTTATAATGTTTAATAGGAACAGAAATTAAGAGACAAGATTGTGTTAAGTTTGTGTTCTTATAGATTTACCTTTTATATTAAGAACTTTATATATATAAGTGTATAGCTTTTCAAATATATCATTCAACAGCTGAAAATATTATATATGTGTACAGTAATGATTCATGTCGTGATACAGTTATACAGTTGTACCAAGTTTAGCATGTCATAGTCGAATGAAAGTGTATAAGTTCGTTATTTTACGATTATAATCCCAGGGTCAGGGCTGACACGACGCAAACTCTAGGCCGAAACACGCCAGACACATTTAGAGCCCTGTACCCTATTATTGTTTCATTGACCCTGTGTAGGGTTAGCTTAGTGGGTCAGTTAGTGTCTGACTCGATTAGTGCTGGATCTTAAGCTATAACAAAGAACTCAGCTGTTTATTAGCAGTACAGTCGTTTTTATAAACACTGACTAAGTGTGTGTGGGCACTATGAATTTTCAGTTAAGTTACGCATTAAAATGGCTTGTTTGAAAACTGCAGTTTCATGTCTTTACAGACTAAGAGTGTAACAAAATTAGAAATGTTTAATTTCAGTCTGCTCTAGGATTAACTGATGATACAAACATAAGAATTTTGATGATCTTGAGGTCAGTTTGAATTAATTTACGCGTACGTCTGGGAAAGATATTATTCAGGTACTATAACATTATGAAAATAAATGTTTCTTGAATCAGATCATATCTGAGATGAAATTAAAATGTTTGTGGATACTTTGTCCGTGAATCAACGTATTAAGGTGGACAGAGAAGTACAGGCTATTGCCCGTAAAAAATCTCTTGTGTCAGAGAGAGACCTACTGTAGCTAGTGGTCAAGAACACTTGGTTACACCTGTAACAACAACAAGTGTCCCATTACCTGAGTTACCTATAATTGTCATTTGTCCTTGTTTCACAAGGTTTGTGATAATATGAGAATTATCATTAGTTGGTTTCTACTCCATAGTAAATTCACGAACTGACATTCAGATGAGATTGCCCTAGTTTAATATTATCTTAAATGTCTTGTGAAGTGAGAACCCCTTATGAACTGGTTTTAAGTCATTTCCGGTGGGTTAAAAGTGCAATTATCAATAGCCTACGTGTCTTATGGCAGACAATTACTTCGATGCGGACTCAATGGGCTAGAGTTAGACATGCGTATCTTAATATCAAGCTTGAAGTCCTCACCCATGAGGAACACATTGTTGCATTCAGACTTTCAGGCAGATTTAGAGTATCACATTTAGTCAATGAGTCTCATATCTCTGTGTGCTAATATGACCTAAGACTCAATGTGTGATTGGTTTATCAGTGGTAATGTGTACAGGATAAGCTGTCACCACAACTATTTGAACGGAATAAAGCTATTATGTTCAATAACGGGTATTTCAACTTGTGAGGAAATTTAGAAGGTTTACCAAACAATAGATTTCATGCATGCAAGCACGACGAAGAGAAAGATGAAAAATTCCACAAATCCCGTGGAATAATAAACCTTCCAACTCAGTGTATAAAAAGATGTATAACTACTCCCACTAAAACCACATAATGGGAAATCCATATAGGCATTTATCAAGCTTGTGAATACAATAGACAGTAAACAGACTCCTGTCATACATAAACGTACTCCAATGTAATGGTGTACTTTGTGATGGAGCACATTGGGACAGTATTGTAGTCAATACACATCATATGGAGCACGGTAGAACAAACGTGGTTATCAGTGAAAAGATGCATCAAGTGTTTAGGTGAACCAAGGGAGGGAAAATTGCTCACTATGAGAAGTGTTTTAAATGCAAGGGTCATGCATCTACAGCATTATGCCCAATTACTTTTGCTGAAGCTCAGCAGACGCAGACTTCCACAGAATCAGAAGTCAACAAGCACAGGCATTAAATGTGAGAGATAAGTTTAAGAAAGGCAACTGACTTCTGCCGATGCCTCGAGTTGAGTTCTAATTAAATTACACAAAACAATATGTCTAACACTATTTGATCAAGCGCTCACAAAAGGACCTTCTAAGAAGAATCAGTGTTGCAGGAAAACTGAATAAACAACC